TCCCTGCTGAGTCAGGCATATCTACATCTGCATTTTTTAAAGATAATAGATTCTCACTTCAGAGATGACAAATTTTCTTTTTAAAGATGATAGATTCTCTTTTCAAAAATGAAAGCTTTATGGAATTTCTACACAAGTCCAAGCAAAGAAAATTGGTTTTATCCAAGACAAAATGGGACATCAAGGTCATAGTTCTGACTACAGCAAGAGTTCCACAAATGAAACATTTCTTCTGAGACCTTCATGAAGCAAAGAAGACAGTAAAGATACAAGTTGATCAGATGATTCTGCAGAAATGCAAGCTTGATAGCATAAGTTGCTACATTGATATCCAGAGGTAACCCTGGCAATAAATGATGAACTAGAGGAAGACCAAGTTCACCACTTTGAAGTCAAATGAAGATTGCATCAACATTCATGCATTCATAAGAATATCATTTACACAATAGACAATGCATTACATTGATACATCTGAGTGCATTCAAACATGAAGTTTTACAGATCTTCGGAAGAACGAAGAAGAAAAAAATACCTTACAAGAAGAAGGTATTCAAAACCAAAAATACAGGAATCACGCAAACATCTGAAGAAGAGATGGACGCAATCCACAAGAATGAGTATTATCTTGAGATTGGGGCATGTTACCCAATCAACATGTTATTTTGAAAAATAATGAGAAAATGATTTCCATAGTTTCTCATTCAATCTTTTCTGAAAATGAAATTGTTGAATAGTAAGAAAACAATTTCCATAGTTTCTTACTTAGTAAACTATTTCTCACATCTGTAAGTCCTTCAGTGCATGATGTTTCCAAAAAGCCTTCGGGAGCTTTTTGATGTTTTCAAAGCCTTCAGGTCATCTGTAAGTCCTTCAGTGCATGATGTTTCCAAAAAGCCTTCGGGAGCTTTTTGATGTTTTCAAAGCCTTCGGGTCATCTGTAAGTCCTTCAGTGCATGATGTTTCCAAAAAGCATTCGGGAGCTTTTTGATGTTTTCAAAGCCTTCGGGTCATCTGTAAGTCCTTCAGTGCATGATGTTTCCAAAAAGCCTTCGGGAGCTTTTTGATGTTTTCAAAGCCTTCGGGTCATCTGTAAGTCCTTCAGTGCATGATGTTTCCAAAAAAGCCTTCGGGAGCTTTTTGATGTTTTCAAATCCTTCGGGTCATCTGTAAGTCCTTCAGTGCATGATGTTTCCAAAAAGCCTTCGGGAGCTTTTTGATGTTTTCAAAGCCTTCGGGTCATCTGTAAGTCCTTCAGTGCATGATGTTTCCAAAAAGCCTTCGGGAGCTTTTTGATGTTTTCAAAGCCTTCAGGTCATCTGTAAGTCCTTCAGTGCATGATGTTTCCAAAAAGCCTTCGGGAGCTTTTTGATGTTTTCAAATCCTTCGGGTCATCTGTAAGTCCTTCAGTGCATGATGTTTCCAAAAAGCCTTCGGGAGCTTTTTGATGTTTTCAAAGCCTTCGGGTCATCTGTAAGTCCTTCAGTGCATGATGTTTCCAAAAAGCCTTCGGGAGCTTTTTGATGTTTTCAAAGCCTTCGGGTCATATGTAAGTCCTTCAGTGCATGATGTTTCCAAAAAGCCTTCGGGAGCTTTTTGATGTTTTCAAAGCCTTCGGGTCATCTGTAAGTCCTTCAGTGCATGATGTTTCCAAAAAGCCTTCGGGAGCTTTTTGATGTTTTCAAAGCCTTCGGGTCATCTGTAAGTCCTTCAGTGCATGATGTTTCCAAAAAGCCTTCGGGAGCTTTTTGATATTTTCAAAGCCTTCGGGTCATCTGTAAGTCCTTCAGTGCATGATGTTTCCAAAAAGCATTCGGGAGCTTTTTGATGTTTTCAAATCCTTCGGGTCATCTGTAAGTCCTTCAGTGCATGATGTTTCCAAAAAGCCTTCGGGAGCTTTTTGATGTTTTCAAAGCCTTCGGGTCATCTGTAAGTCCTTCAGTGCATGATGTTTTCAAACATTTCCATCCTGCTCGAAAGAAGCCAAATGAAAAAATTATTGTCTTTTTCGTCTTTGCTCTATTCTTGTTAACACAAGGATGAGCAAAGAGGGGCAGCTGTAGACATCATTTTTTCATTTAAATTTATTATTATTATTAAAATTATTATTAGTATTATTATTATTATTATAATTATTATTAATATTATATATTATTATTATTTAATAAATAATTACAAAACTGGACCGGCCCAGTTACAAACAAACCAGAACCGGCCCAGACCAACCAGAAACCCTAAACGATTAGTAAGGTTTCAGCTAGGGTTTCTAAACCCTAGCCACCCCCAGCCGCCTCTGATGCTTCCAGAAGCCCAGCCGCCGCCTCTGCCGACACTCCCACTGCCAGGTGACCCAACCATATGCTGCCGACGATCCCCTGCTACCACAACTCCCATGAAGAAGTCTCCAGAACGCCACGAAACTACCCACATCGAGCTCTATGATGAGTCACCGCCATAGCTATGGTGACTCACCAGAAGTCTCCACTGGAACCGGTCCGACGAGAGCCTCAGTGGTGGCTATAAAAGCCACCACACCTGCAAGAAAGAAGACAGACGGCAGAGAACGACAAGAAAAAAAACAGAAAAAAAAACAAAGCAAGAACTACACCAACGATCCCAGAAAATACAAACCAAAAGAAGAGAAAAAGAGACTTACCGAGGAAATCGCCGTCGTGAGAGCCTCTACAAGTCATCAGAGAACCGAAACGTCGAAGAGAAATATCCTAGATCTACGACGATTGGTAAGGTTTTAAGCTAAAATAACCTTAGAACTAGATATAGAAAAATAGGGGCTTTGATTTGGGGTGGGTTTTGTAATTTCCGGCCACCGTTAACGGTGGCCGGCGGCAGCAATCGGAGCCCGACAGCGGTGGCTGACTGGGCCGGCTTCTCTCTAATTTTAGAGAGAAGCCAGAGAGAAATCTTCTCTCTCTCTGTTTGAGAGAAGAAGAGAAATGAAGAAATGAATGGTTGGCCCGAAGGGCCAGCCGGTTTAGGGTATATAAACCCTCATCCATACGACGTCGTTTAAGGGGGAGGGGTATCTGTGTAATTAACTAAAGGTTAAACCCTTTCCGTAGCCATCCAAACTTGTAACTCTTACATTCTAGTCACTAAATCAAATTTATAATCCTTTTAATTTGGTTCTTTAATTTTAATTTTATTTATTTTAGTCCTTTCTATTAAATAATATATTTAGGATAAATACGTATTTAGTCCTTTAGTTTTAATAATTAATATTTCAATCCCGAGCTTTTATTTTTAATTTATTTTAATCTGATATTCGAATTTTAGATAAATTTTATTTTAGTCATTAAATTAATAAATAAGAAAATAGCTTGTTTAATACCTATAATTTTGATTAATTATGAATTAGATTTTTAATTTTAATTTTAATATAATTTAGTCACTATTTTTAAATGTGTTTATTTATTTTACTACTTTTAAATATATCATTCTAATTGTATTTTTATTGCTTTATTTAAATATTATTATCATATAGTCATAAAAATATATAATAAATAATAATTTATATTTTTTTAATAAATTATTTTAATATTTTTCAATATCGAAGAAAAGGACAGTCTTAATATAACTGGATGTCCTATTCTGGTATTTTAAAATTAAATATTATTAAAAATTATTATTTAATTTTATTTAAATTTAATTTTATTAATATCAAAGAAAAGAGCTGTCTTAAGGCACCTAGAAGTTCTTTTCTAATATTTTTAAATAAATAAATAAATATTATTTATATAATTTTGAAATAATAGGATTATAAATTAAATATATTTTTGAATTTTTAATTTTAATACTAGAGACAATTTATAATTAAAAAGTACCAATTTTGGGCGTTGTAGGGGTGCTAATCCTTCCCTAAACGTAACCGACCACGAATCCCTTTTTATTATTAAAAAGAATGAATTTTTGGTTATAAACGCAGATCAAATTATTTTTTTTAATTGATGTTTTTTTTAAAAACTCTTTTAAAAGAAAAATTTTTAGGTATTCGACCTACCTGATCCAAAAGGTCGATGGCGACTCCCAAATTATTTTCAAAACTATTTATTTACATCAATTTCCCGCCAAGTATAATATTTCGTGCCCGGACGAAAACCGGTTACGACACATAGTATCAAATTGCGGTTGTGGTTTCGCGGTTGCTGATGCTGCGGACGTTACGTAACGTGTTGCGTTGTCGCGGGTGTGATCTCCTCCTCAAAAATCACAATACGTCTAAAATATTATATTTATACATTTTACAATTATCTTTTAATATACTCTTATAATTTTTTATTTTAAAAATAAAAATTAAATTTCATAGATAAAAAACTATTAAAAACAAATATAAAAATTACCGCAGTGTTTACATTTGGCTACTGGTTTTCCATCTACTTCAACCCTCTCAAAGTCCAACCAAACCTTGGACGTCAACTCTCTAGTTGTAGTTCCTGAGAGTTCAAAAGCCTCCTTATTTTCTTTCAAAATGTCAGAGACCCCACCGAAAACAATCTGAGAATTTGATAAAAAAAAATCATGTATACAACTTTATATAATTTCGATATCATATCTAGGGAAAAAGAATTGATATTGGCCTACACATAAATTAGTTTGTGTACTAACATATGATATTAATAAAGAAGAATCAACAATTACCTGGTCATAAGACCCTTCTGATGCGTTAAAAGGAGCTATTGCCACATGTGATGAAGAACGTGAACGTGTTGGTGGTTGAACATTTAGAACCGCATCCCTCTAAAAGTTATTATCATTAGATTCATCAATGCTAAACCATGATTAATTCAATGGTCATAAGACACTTAAGAGGAGCTATTGCAAGATGTGATGAAGAATGTATAAGTGTTGGTGATTGAACATTTAGATTCGCTTCCCTCTAAAAAGAAAACATCATTAATTCAATGTTGAGATGATATAATAAAATAGAAGATAATGTAATTCTATGAAAAAAGAAAGGATAATGTAATTACCTGGTCATTAAGCGCATTTATTTTTCCAGCATGAACATCCCTTGCTTCTTCAACTGTTTGAATGTTTACTTCAGTGTCTTGAACGGCTACCGTTACAAACTTGTTCTACATGTTTTTCAACTCTTCAAAGATACGATATGCCAGAGGTCCTGATATTTCACACTCCCAATAGAATTCTACTACATAAACTTTATTTGAATAATAATTCCGGAGAACGATAGCAACAGCGGCATCGATTCCACAAGTTTCAGTTTGAATAAGAAATTCTTTATTTTCCATATAGAAGTTTCGAATACTTGGATGGAAATAGAACCCTTCACTTGATTCAAGTGCTTTCTCAACAATGGATAGAGCCCAGATCTTATGAATATTTATTGCTTTTCCGTATCCTTTCATAAATGCATAAGAGTTCCAATCTTTCACGTAACAAGAATTCCTTTGGATTAACATTGTACGATTCTTGAATGGATATGACGTCTTTTCATTCTTACCAATAACCTTAGAATCCCATGTTAAAGCCAATGGAATATCATATTTATGACATAAATCTTTTAATATGTCATATATCTCAGCAAAAGAAGCTACTCGATTCAGTGCCCAACCCTGTTAACGTATTGAATAATAATCAATTAACTAAATAAAATAATAAATAGACTATTTGGATTGATCTAAATTTAACCATAATAAACTTGGGTAAGAGATTTCACACAAAATTTACGACAATCTATGAACACCTTATAATACACTGAAAAAAATCAAATATCATTTATCTTCGATTAAGTATGGCAATGACATTATCTTTTGATTTGATTAACATTATCAATAATTAAATAATTAAAAAATATGAATAATTAACAACACATATTTGTATGAAAAAAAAATCTTTAAAACAATTTCGCCTTTAATTTTATTCGTCTTTAATCAAATTAAAAGAAGAATTTTCAAATCATTTTTGTGTTATTTTAAAATTTTAAATGCTAAGTTAATACCTCTGGAAAAGGTTGAAGAGGTGGTATCGTACTGTCCAGCAGAGAATTTGAATTGAAACCTACAAAGAAATTTCATAAATTAATCATCATCAGTGGGTGTAATGATAATTAAAATTAACTTTTTATTTACCCAAGAACTAATTCATTAATCGATCAATAATTTATCTTTTACAAAATTAAAGATATAATCTAACAAATTACATCAATACTGTTAAAATTTATAAAGAAAAACAAATACTATACATAAAATTTTACAGTGGAAAGAAATTAAAACTAAATAATAAAGCTTATCATGTGATACGTTAAACGAAACATTTTATTTTATTACTAATAATGTCATAGTACTATAGATTTTCGAATGCATCAAATACATGAATAACTAAAAGAAATAAATACCTGGTCCGAGCTTATGGCTATTGAGATTGCAATTGAAATGCTCATCTTCAACTTGGGGTTTCCACGCCGACAAGAAAAACGTTGGGCGTTGTTCCCAACCTAAAATCAAACACCCATTTTCCTCGCGCATTGTTGCTGGCCAACGTAGGTCATCGTCTGAGGGGGTTAACGGAACTTGGCGAAAGCCAGCCATTGAGAGAATCTTTTGCCATTCGGTCAAAGTTTTATGTCGCCTAATTGGATCCTCGCCTTCCTGTGTGTATATGTTCAGCATCCACTCAAATTCACTTTGAATTAGATCCCCATAATCATCAATTATATCGGAGTAATAACGAAAAGAATCCTCCGAAAATGTCAAGAAATTGGACTCATTCTGATCGACATAAAACTCCAGCATGAATACAAGAGCTGGATTTATGTTCCTAAATCTTTCAAACTCTCTCTTCATTGCTTCTGTATCTATTAGCAACTTGTGAAGGTTCAGATTATAGAAGACCAGTGCAGTTTCATCCTCTCTTCTTTTAAAATCCAATTCAGATTCATCCAATTCTCCCAAACTACTACCATACAACACTTTCAACTGATCAAACTTTATATTCAATTCGCCAGCGAAGCACCTCATTTCAGATTCGAGATTTACATGTTTTTTTAGAAAGGGTGACTTACACGGACGGATAGGGGATCACAGTCTGAATTCGGTAATTTTTCAAAGCCGATGTCCTATCATTCAAAAAATCTGGGAGGGGGAAATCAATGAGGTGGAATCTCTTCTTTCCCATCAAAGGCAAAGTATCTTTCATGGCATTTCTGATTGCGACATTTATACAGTATGAGTCATAATAACAAGGTACTACATGATACACCGGCAAAGTGTAGTAGGAGGAAGTGGGATGCAGTCCATACCAGGGTTTTAAAAAACGGTCCACCACCGCGATTTCGGCCACGATATAGCGGTTTCGCTGTCGTTCAAGTTACCCGCGACGGCCTCAATAGCGTTCGCGACTGCGACGACCGTAATCACGGTAAATTCGAAATAACCAAAAACGCGACCGCGATTTGAAACTCTGGTCCGTAGGCTCGGCGAACTAGAGCTTCCGCGAAGTATTTCACCATTCTGCTTTGATTTATCCCGAGTCCAGTATTGGCAACAATCAAGATCCATTGCAGGAACCAATCGGCACGTTTCAGATCCCCATCTTCAATAGCTTTAGCGCAGTCTAGTAAGAACCCCGCCTTAGAAGAGGCCATCAAAGAATATCAGATTCAACAGTATAAGGAAGAAGAATAAGAAAGAAGAAATTGGATGGAAAACAGAACGCCAAGTTATTTCAATCACTGTTTCATTTTGAATTTTCTTCCCTCTTTTCCTCTATTGCTGTGAATAAAAAAAAAAAGCATTCATGCGGCAGTGAATTTTCTTTTCTGCAAAATTTGTTTCTCGTGTTTGCGGATCAAGTGGGTTGGCAGGAGTGCAAGGGGATGTATAAGAAAGACGAATTAATATAAGGTTAATAAAATACGTTATTAAAAATGTTAATATTTTTTAATATTTTCGGTAAAGTGTTATCTAAAATATTATTTTTTTTCTACAAAAAAATGTTCATATCGGAAATATTCACTTTAGGTAGCGAAGTTAATATTTTCGATAAAAAAATAATATTTTAAGTAGCACTATACCGAAAATGTTAAAAAAATATTAATATTTCGGTAGCGTCTTTCTTTAACCTTATATTAGACTGTCGTACAAAAGAATTACCCAGAAGTGCAACCGTTAAGCCAAAGATAATAATGTGTTATTTCATAGGGTGAATTATGCGTTTAGTATCCAAACTATCCGTTTTGGTCCATTTTAGTACCTAATTTTTTTAAAAAAATCATACCTAAAGTTTAGTTTTTGTTTCATTTTAGTATCCCTGTTAAAAATTTAACGTTATGTTTTGAAAAAAAAATTGAAAGTTTAGGTACCAAACGCGTTAATTTTTTAACGGTGGGTACTAAAATAAAACAAAAAACTAAACGTTAAGTATGATTTTGAAAAAAAATGAAAATTTAAGTACTAAAATGAAACAAAATTGATAGTTTAAATACTAAATGATAAAATTTACCCCATTTTATATTTAAGTCTATTTTGCTTTTCATCTCTTACCCCACCATTTTCTTTTCTACAAACTTTGCTTAAGCGATATCAAGCTACTTAAAACTTGAATCAACTCTCATTGGTTGATTTTTTTTATTAATCTAGGGTAAGTACAGGTAGTATCTATTCAAAGATAACTCTACCCTTTGACATTTAATGCTCACATCCTTGACATCTATAGTGCTCGAATTCGGGCTCTCAAGGAATAACAACAATTTATTTACTATGAATGTCACTTGGTTCGTGCTTTTTCTATATTTTTAAATTGTAATAGTTATAATATTATAATGATTTTTTTCTAACATTTCTTTAATTTTAATGGATATGATTTAAAATTACTTTTAATATTTAGTTGAATAGTTATTTTGACATCTATTCTTTCTTTAAACACTTTAACCATCAACGTTTCATTTTGGGTCAAAATAGTTTTTTTGCGAATGAAAATCGTTAACCAAATAACGATCAATGCCTTGAGATAATGTGTCAATCCTTAATGGCATCATATGTTAATATGACAATGTCACATGTACAAAAATAATAATATAACATTTCGTCACATCAATAAAAAAGTATTTTTTTATTATTCTAAAAATAATTTTATATAATTTTATTTAATAGTTATGAATCATTCACATGTTAACACGTTTGAATACATCCAATAATGCGATACCCGGTTCTTTTGTTCACCGTGGAAATTAGACTAACATCTTTATATATCCGATGAAGGGAGAAGAAGAGTGATAAGAAAGGTAAAATCTGGACCCAATTGAGGTAATCATAACCAATGAAAAGTTGGTTTTAATTATCCCAATGGTCTAATAATTCTCCAAATCTTTTCATCATCATAAAACCCTTTTTTTATATATTTGATTGTACCCAATTAAGGTCGAACAAGTCTTAAAAGCCTAATAAAATTCTAATACCACCTCAAATTTGTTATTGTAGCTAACAGACAATGCCCCTCTTGGCTTTGGAGAAGCCCTTATTTTGGCATAACATACATGCTACAGTACTCTGATCATATTTCTGGTCATCTCCGGTCCTTGTATTTGGTATCAGAGTCATATTCCTAGATCTATTCATTTTACAAAGATTTCAGGGAAAATAAATCTTATTATCATGTCAAAAACTACTTTAATAAAGATTTCTTCAAAATCACTTGTTACTATGGGAGACTAACCTCTCAAAACTAATATAGCCAAAAAGATTTTTCCCTTGTATGAAGTTAATTACTCCGAAGATGAGAAAGTTCAACCCACAGAACTATCTCTTGTAAATCCTTATTCTACTTACAAAAAGCCATTTATTTCCCCTATCAAAAGCATCAAGTCTTTGATTCATACACCATCAAAAAGGTGTAAAGGAGTATGTCCAGTCCTCCCATTTTGATAAACACTACATCACGAGATCAACCACATAAAATTTTTTACTCTGAAAATTCCTTTTGACTTTTCAGAAAATGGATATAAATTGGGTATTCCCATATCAATTTTGGTGCAATTCGACTCGCTCTTAACTATCATGGCACGGAAGAAAAGCCAGTAGTAGCAAGGATTGCTTTACTGGATACCAAATATTTGAAGTATCAAGATGTTTGTATTGGTACTGTGGAAGCTACTATTAACAACAAGCTTGTTATGGTAACTTTGTTTCCAAATTTTACCATGGCCCTTATAGATCCCAATCTCATGGATGCTTTAAAAATCTAGATATATATAGTTGGAGCCCCTCAGGTGGAATCTTTAATAATTGTAACTCTTCACTATCAAATAGTGTATAGAGTTCAAGATCATACTTTTAAGCTCAATGGGAGCGGATCTGGTGATTCTCTATTGATTTTAGCTAACACATAGAAGCAGCCACATTGTATTCATATCCCCAAGCATATCCCAAGAAAGGAGTTGCTCCAGTTATTACCAGACAAATGGGTGATTAATTACGAGCATATCCATGAAAAAATACAACCAATTAGACCCCTTATTAGTAAATTCACCTCTAAAGAGAATGGGACTTCAGAGATCAGATTTGATCATAACCACTTGAAGAGTCAACCAACACCATTAATATTCCCTACATAATTGATGATGTTGCCCGTTGGAGATCCCATAGAAGCACATGACAAAGAAGAACCAGACTGTTATTGTAAATTATGCAAGCTGGCTTAGAATCCTCTTTTATAGAGAATTTTGATGCATCTGACAAGCCGATCTACATGTTTAAAGATCCATTAATCGGTTACTGTCCATGGGATCCTGAATGCTCGTGTGAAATGTGTGTTGATGAAAGATTCGATGCATGGATTGAATGGAATCATCATATAGCATATTTTCCCACAAAGTTTGCAAGAAAAAGAAAAAATATTCTCATTACAGTCTTTATAAAAGATACATGCAAGGAGATCCCTCAGCTGGACCCCTTGGAGAAGACAATAGAAAGTTTATTTTCCTTGTGGATTATTCATCCAAAACCCCTACAGTTAAACCGACTCAGTCTCTTCCACGAAATCCTCCACCAAAACCTCCTCCATCACTAGCATCCAAAATAAAACCAGGAAAATAGACCCAACCCTGCTATAAGAAAATTCAAAAGTGGGTTAAAAAGAACCCTGAACCAATACCTTAAATTCAACAAATCCCAACTGTCTACATGTAACACACTAATCCAGTTTGACCCGAAGATCGTTGGATTACAATATCACATGGGACTAAATAGTTACCCAAAATTTTTCTCTAAAAATTGCTTTTCAACTAACGAAATTAGTTCATCCAAACTGTTAAAATAAAACCATAGTAAATATCTAAGTTTACAAAATAGTGGGGAGCTCCCAATATATATATATATCCAAAAGAATATAGTACTAATACAAATCAAAGTCACGATTGAATATACAAAGGGTCCATAAATAATACATGCCCTCTAAGAAGACTCAAGACGTACTTGATAGTCACTGCTAATCTGGTTTGATGCACTAGAATATCTGCTGATGATAACTCCCATGCCCTACCACTAATAACCTGCGTACGGAAACACATTCCGAACGCTAAGCTTACGAGCTCAGTGCCTCAGTAAAAACTTTTCTATACTATGTGCATTCACTAAATGAAATAAGTTAGTGGCACGAGTCTGAACATATGAATACATATTATATTAAAACATGATCTTCTAAAATGTGGCAGGCATCATGGTGCAGCGGAGGGATTCTGTCATCTCGGAGCTCACACCCCTCTAGCCTGCCAAGTGGGAATATGGAATTCCAGTATCGAAAACTTATACCCTTCAACCACTCCATCAAGACTTGGGGCATCTGGCACCCGGTCGACTGCTGAAGTGTCAAGGCACTGACTGGATCCATTGTCTGTCTTATTTTTTGTAAAAGATTCTCGGGTGTCTTGGCTATTTCCCGAGTATCAAACAAGGCTAGTTTTATGTAAACCTAACTTTTATTTTTTTCTACTGTTTATATATTAATTATTGTTATTGCTTGAAGTCTTATTTTCTATTATTCAAGTGTATTGGGATACCTCAGGTATAATTCTTTAATCCCTGGTTATTTTATCAAATTTTGCTCATGGGTATCGATACTGACCCTTCAGTATAGATACCCTCTTATTTTACGTGGGTATCGATACTTGATTGAGTATCGCTACCAGAATGAGGTTTGATGTTTCAAAAAATTAGCCTAGTATCGATACCCCTATGGGGAGTATTAATACTCCTTCCCTAGTATCGATACTCAACGAATTAGTATCGATACTACCCTTATAAATCTGCCTATTTCGTGCCTGACTG